TCACCCTGCAAGGGTTTGTCCTCAGAAATGCAAACTGGTTCTGCCTCTCTCTAAATTACTGCTGTGCAGCAGTGACTTCTTTTCAGGGATGTCACTTCTTTGTTCATTGGAAGCAGTTGACCTGCTGGGAAATTAATTTCCTCCCCGACTAACCYTGGGTTCTTCCTGAGTGGGCACTGCCAAGTTGCCCTGCCCAAAATCTGGGTCAGAGAGCAGGGATTTATTTTCTGGATGAGTCCCTGTAGCAAGAAACCAGGGCATTCCTTGAGGGAAGTGCTAAACTTGACTCTGAGGGGAGAAGAGCCTCTCCTGGTCAGTCCTCAGTGATGTGGGAATTGCAAGGAAGCTCCCATGATCCTCATGTCTCATATTTGTATTTTCTACATATGTGTTTTATACAGTTTACAATGAGGAATCTCTAAGGCTACATCTTCTCCAAAAGCCAGAATTTTAACCTCCTCTAAAAAAGCTGTGACCTTATTTCAGTTAAACTCTGATTTTGCCTTGGTTTTCTTTTAATCGGAGGCTGGGAAAAAAAGCCTCCTGCCTAGCTCAACACATTAATTTTATTGGAAGCTACTAAAATAAGAGCTGATTTKGGAGTGGGGTCCTGCTGGCCCTGTGGGCAGAGGGTTTGGAGCATTGGAATTGCTGTTACACCCCTTTTTGAGGCTTCTCCCCAGCCGGAGCTCCCTGTTCCACTCAGCTCTGCACAGGGCACRTGCTTTATTCCCCAGCATCGTGGGACTGTCTCAATGTCACCACTGTCTTTGCTGTCGTGGGAGCCTCAGTGGCAGAGGTGGTCAAGCAGGAGCAGAGGGAAGGGGAATAAGCACTGACACTGCAGTTTATGTGGTCCTGTTCGCTCTTTCTGTGGAAAGAGCAGAATTATAGAATCACAAGAGTCTCCTGAGCAGGGAGGGACCTACAGGGAGGATCCAAATTCAGYTCGTGGCCCTGCACAGGAACGTTGGTGTAAGTCCCTTAGAACTAARTAATTTATCTTCTTCCTGTGCCCAGGTTCTTCCTGTCAGTGCCTCCCGAGGAGAACCACAGACAGGACGGGGAGCGGGAGGAGGAGGAGGAAACCCACGAGGTGACCAGGTTTTACACCAATCCCATTGCCAAGCCCATCCCGCAGACCCTGGAGGGCAGTGGGCACAAGCCCCACTCCAGCGTGGACGACACCATCGTGGCACTGAACATGCGCGCGGCGCTGCGCAACGGGCTGGAGGGCAGCAGCGAGGATGCCTCCTTCCAGGAGGATTCCCTGCAGGATGAGCGGGAAGAGGAGGCGGAAGGCACCCACCACCTGCATCCTGCGGGTGAGTCTGGCGGCAGCAGAGTTTCATGCAAGTTTTCTTGCAAGCTGTTTGACACTCTCACCTTTTGCTTTTTTCGTTCTCTTTTCACCAGAACACAAATCTTGCTTTTCTTACCTAGTGCACAAATTTCACCTGCTGAGTCAATGAGCGTTTAAATTTTATTCCCCAGTTTTTTATCATGGTTGCAGTTTTTTAAACTCAAGAAGGTAAAGGGAAAAGATTYTTTTCTTCCTTTCAGGTCATACTTAGGTGGCATGTAATGAAACTGGCGATGTCTGATGTGTTCAAAAGAGATGTCTCTAGACATTGTGTAGACGTATAATGCTTTTGGGAAATAGATAATTAGACAAATTAAGGGATGAAGAAGAATTGGAGCCTGTTAAATGCAGAAGCTTCAGCTTGGTCAGCAGTGCCTGAGGCCCCAGGCTTCGAGAGCATTTCCTTCAAGTGTTGATGTATTTGCAATCTTTCTTTTCCCTATGCACCTTCTTTCCTGCCTGGTTGGCCACATGCTGTTCCCTGGTGGATGCTTGGGCTGATAGGACCTGCCAGAGCACTTGTCTCCAATGTGCTCTGGAGGCTGTGGAATTAAGGTGTTTTGGTGTCTGTTGCCTTTGACTTCCTCTGAGGCTTCCAGCYGTTCAGGCTGCCAAAAGAAATGGGATGAGAGTCTGGGGACGTTGATACTTTGCTGCCAGCCCTGTTCTGAGGGAATGTTGTGTTGCAGGGATTGTTCTGACACGAGCTGGCTACTACACCATCCCCTCCCTGGAGGAGCTGGCCCGGTTGACCAACGACAGGAACGAATGTATCGTGACAGACTTCACCATCGGCCGCAAGGGTGAGACCCCCTGGCTTCCCCAGAGGCTTCACTCTCGTGCAGGGATTTTAAAGATATGGAACCAGATTTCCAAACTGTCAGTCTGATTGTAACCGGTGCCMTTGCTTTGGGAGCAGCTTGCATCCAAGTCTTGTAGGATTTTAGGATGGAATAAATCACAGTATCACAGACTGATGTGKCTTGGGAGGGGCCTTAAAGCTCATCTCATTCCATGGGCAGGGACACCTCCCACTGTCCCAGGCTGCTCCCAGCCCCAGTGTCCAGCCTGGCCTTGGGCACTCAAAGGGATCCAGGGGCAGCCACAGCTTCTCTGGGCACCCTGTGCCAGGGCCTGCCCACCCTCCCAGGGAACAATTCCTGTCCAATATCCCATCTRRCCYTGCCCTCTGGCACTGGGAAGCCATTCYYTGGCTCCTGTCCYTSCAGCCCTTGTCCCSAGTCCCTCTCCAGCTCTCCTGGAGCTCCTTTAGGCCCTGGCAGGGGCTCTGAGGTCTCCCTGGAGCCTTCTCTTCCCCAGGTGAGCACCCCCAGYTCCCCCAGCCTGCTGAWATGAGTGTCAGACTTGGTAATGGTCCTCCAAGGTTTTCTCAGGGGGAAGGAGGTGCCACTTTGCCRTGGAGACAGGACATGGCTGAGTGGGGACGGGAGCCCAGCAAGAGTATGTGCTCTCTGGCACATGACTTCACAGACAATTAGTGACATTTTGGGTTGTTTTACAGGTTATGGATCAATTTACTTCGAAGGAGAAGTAAATCTAACAAACTTAAACCTGGATGAGATTGTCCATATCCGGAGAAAAGAAGTTATTGTTTACCCTGACGATGAAAGAAAACCCCCCATTGGGGAAGGTTTAAATAGGTAAGCGTTAGATAAGGATAAATTTTAAAATCCTGACAGTCTGCTGTGTTTGCAGGCAACCAAGAGACAAATCCAAGTGATGCATTCAGTTTGGAATGTTGACAATTATGAGATGCTTACAAGCTTCTGAGCCACAAATAGGGTTTGAAGGCTGATTTGAGCCCCCCTGCCCAGGGCTGGGCTGTGCCTCCGTGCCTGGATCTCAGCTCTGCTGCCCTGCTCAGGTTTCCCATCAGTTCCTGAGCAGCTCTGCCTCGGCCCCTTGTCTGTGAGCCTGTTTGGTGCCTTTTCCAGGCGAGCCGAGGTCACCCTGGATGGGGTGTGGCCCACGGATAAAACGTCACGGTGCCTGATCAAGAGCCCCGAGCGCCTGGCAGAGATGAACTACGAGGGCCGGCTGGAGGCCGTGTCCCGCAAGCAGGGCGCCCGCTTCAAGGAGTACCGCCCAGAGACCGGCTCCTGGGTCTTCAAGGTGAGGGAGTCACACAGACCCTGACCCTGCAAGCTCCTGAGATTTTGTAATTCAAGTAATTCGCTAACTTCAGACAACTGTCCTCACCAGAGCGACTCCTCATCCCTTGGAGTGTTCAGGGTTGTGTTGGACATGGCTTTGAGGAACCTGCACTAGTGGGAGGTGCCCCTACCCATAGAATGAATGAGCTCTAAAATCCCTCCCAACCTAAACCAGTCTGTGGTTCTCTGGTGAAGCCTGTGGCCCCAGACCTGCCTACAGCATGTGGTTTTGTTCTGTGGAGAGGCTCAGTTTGTTGCAGATGTCCCCAGAGCTGTGTGTTAGAACACCTGCATAGGGCATGGTGCTACATGTTGCACTCGCCCAGTTTTCAGGCCTTTCAGAAATTTCACTTCCAAGCTGTGACATATTTATCCTTCTCCTTAACACAGGTAGCGCACTTTTCCAAGTACGGCTTGCAAGATTCAGATGAGGAAGAGGAAGATCATCCTTCAAAAGCGGACACCAAGAAGTTAAAGACCATACCTGTGCCACCCCCAGGGCACCTGCTGCCCCAGCAGATGGCCCTGAACGGCAAACCAGCACCCCCAGCTCAGGTAGAAGAACAGTGACTAAAGGGGGTTGATGACATGGAATTTGGAGAGTAGCTGTGCCTGGGAAGGGGGTGGTTGGAGTAACCTGGAATCTGGAGAGTGAAGCTTTACAGAAACTCTTCTGAACTCTGGCTGAATGGCTGCATGTTGTTTTCCTTTGAGACACTTGACATTTCGCACTGAGGCTGGGGCGGGGAGGCTTTCAACCCTGTTTCTTGTTTGAATTCTAGTCTGAGTTTGACAGATTTGCGCCTCTTCTGGAAGAACATTGTTTTTGTGACTATTAAATGCACGCCCATAATGCCAACGCCGTGTGCTGCCTGCCTGGACAGTGATGCTGTGCACTCAGTTTACCACCATTAGTGTGCAAGACTGTCTGCTTTCTATTTTAAGAATGTGCTCTATTTTTATTAAAATAATACTTTTGTAAGGCTGGCTATATGCTGGCTTGGTAAATGTATTTGTGTTGGATGTGACTGCTTTAAACCTTTGCAAAACATCCTCAGTGGTGGGCCCATCTTATCCAGGAATATTTGATCCACAGGCAGTGTTTGATTCCGTTCACTGGGAATACCAGAAACCCAGGTGGGCAAGAGGCCAACGACCCCTGGGCTGTCCCAGCCATGGTGTGGCCACAAGCCCAGGGCAGCATTGTCCCCCTACGCTGGGCACTGTGAGACACCTCAAGGGCTGTGTGCAGTTCTGGGTCCTGCAGAGAGACCCTGAGGGGCTGTGGTGTGTCCAGGGAAGGGAATGGAACTGGGAAAGGGGCTCAGCCTGGAGAAAAGGGGGCTCAGGNATGAGTGTCAGACTTGGTAATGGTCCTCCAAGGTTTTCTCAGGGGGAAGGAGGTGCCACTTTGCCGTGGAGACAGGACATGGCTGAGTGGGGACGGGAGCCCAGCAAGAGTATGTGCTCTCTGGCACATGACTTCACAGACAATTAGTGACATTTTGGGTTGTTTTACAGGTTATGGATCAATTTACTTCGAAGGAGAAGTAAATCTAACAAACTTAAACCTGGATGAGATTGTCCATATCCGGAGAAAAGAAGTTATTGTTTACCCTGACGATGAAAGAAAACCCCCCATTGGGGAAGGTTTAAATAGGTAAGCGTTAGATAAGGATAAATTTTAAAATCCTGACAGTCTGCTGTGTTTGCAGGCAACCAAGAGACAAATCCAAGTGATGCATTCAGTTTGGAATGTTGACAATTATGAGATGCTTACAAGCTTCTGAGCCACAAATAGGGTTTGAAGGCTGATTTGAGCCCCCCTGCCCAGGGCTGGGCTGTGCCTCCGTGCCTGGATCTCAGCTCTGCTGCCCTGCTCAGGTTTCCCATCAGTTCCTGAGCAGCTCTGCCTCGGCCCCTTGTCTGTGAGCCTGTTTGGTGCCTTTTCCAGGCGAGCCGAGGTCACCCTGGATGGGGTGTGGCCCACGGATAAAACGTCACGGTGCCTGATCAAGAGCCCCGAGCGCCTGGCAGAGATGAACTACGAGGGCCGGCTGGAGGCCGTGTCCCGCAAGCAGGGCGCCCGCTTCAAGGAGTACCGCCCAGAGACCGGCTCCTGGGTCTTCAAGGTGAGGGAGTCACACAGACCCTGACCCTGCAAGCTCCTGAGATTTTGTAATTCAAGTAATTCGCTAACTTCAGACAACTGTCCTCACCAGAGCGACTCCTCATCCCTTGGAGTGTTCAGGGTTGTGTTGGACATGGCTTTGAGGAACCTGCACTAGTGGGAGGTGCCCCTACCCATAGAATGAATGAGCTCTAAAATCCCTCCCAACCTAAACCAGTCTGTGGTTCTCTGGTGAAGCCTGTGGCCCCAGACCTGCCTACAGCATGTGGTTTTGTTCTGTGGAGAGGCTCAGTTTGTTGCAGATGTCCCCAGAGCTGTGTGTTAGAACACCTGCATAGGGCATGGTGCTACATGTTGCACTCGCCCAGTTTTCAGGCCTTTCAGAAATTTCACTTCCAAGCTGTGACATATTTATCCTTCTCCTTAACACAGGTAGCGCACTTTTCCAAGTACGGCTTGCAAGATTCAGATGAGGAAGAGGAAGATCATCCTTCAAAAGCGGACACCAAGAAGTTAAAGACCATACCTGTGCCACCCCCAGGGCACCTGCTGCCCCAGCAGATGGCCCTGAACGGCAAACCAGCACCCCCAGCTCAGGTAGAAGAACAGTGACTAAAGGGGGTTGATGACATGGAATTTGGAGAGTAGCTGTGCCTGGGAAGGGGGTGGTTGGAGTAACCTGGAATCTGGAGAGTGAAGCTTTACAGAAACTCTTCTGAACTCTGGCTGAATGGCTGCATGTTGTTTTCCTTTGAGACACTTGACATTTCGCACTGAGGCTGGGGCGGGGAGGCTTTCAACCCTGTTTCTTGTTTGAATTCTAGTCTGAGTTTGACAGATTTGCGCCTCTTCTGGAAGAACATTGTTTTTGTGACTATTAAATGCACGCCCATAATGCCAACGCCGTGTGCTGCCTGCCTGGACAGTGATGCTGTGCACTCAGTTTACCACCATTAGTGTGCAAGACTGTCTGCTTTCTATTTTAAGAATGTGCTCTATTTTTATTAAAATAATACTTTTGTAAGGCTGGCTATATGCTGGCTTGGTAAATGTATTTGTGTTGGATGTGACTGCTTTAAACCTTTGCAAAACATCCTCAGTGGTGGGCCCATCTTATCCAGGAATATTTGATCCACAGGCAGTGTTTGATTCCGTTCACTGGGAATACCAGAAACCCAGGTGGGCAAGAGGCCAACGACCCCTGGGCTGTCCCAGCCATGGTGTGGCCACAAGCCCAGGGCAGCATTGTCCCCCTACGCTGGGCACTGTGAGACACCTCAAGGGCTGTGTGCAGTTTTGGGTCCTGCAGAGAGACCCTGAGGGGCTGTGGTGTGTCCAGGGAAGGGAATGGAACTGGGRAAGGGGCTCAGCCTGGAGAAAAGGGGGCTCAGGGGACCCTTCTGGCTCTGTACAATTCCCTGACAGGAGGGCGGAGCAGGAAACAGCCTCAAGTTGTGCCAGTGGAGGTTTGGATTGGATATTGGGAAAATTTCTTCCAGGAAAGGGCGGTCCAGCCCTGGCACGGCTGTCCAGGACAGTGGAAGTCCCCATCCCTGAGGCGATTTCACAACCCTGTGGCTGTGGCACTTGGGGACGTGCTCAGTGGTGRCTCTGGCAGTGCTAGGGAGCAGTTGGGTTTGGTGGGCTCACAGGCTTTTCCAGCCTCAATAGTTGTGTGTTTCTAACATGGAAGAACCTTTCCCTGGTATCCARTGGGAACCTCTGCTGGCCACTTGTGTGGCAGGAGAACAGAGCACTCGTGGCAGATGAGAGGAGCCGTCAGGACCCTGATCCTGTACAGCAATTCCATGAGCAGTGTCTGCTCCCTGTGCAGGACATCCTGCTGCTGGGGCRTGCTGCGGGGCTGCTACCTCTGCTGGGCTCTGCATGGAGAATCCCAGAGTAGTGACCAGCTGCTGCTCCAGCTCTCCCGATTCCTGGGCCATTAACACCACTCACTTATCCCTCTGCTGCAGTAGATCCTTAATTATTTGCATTTCAAGCTGCACACGTGGCTGCACAACAGCCTCACTTCAGTTCCCCTTCCTGCTTCATGTTCAGATTGGAGGGACMAGAGCTGAGGTTTTAAACACTCAGGAATGCTGGGAATATCTCTCATATATATTCAAACATTCTTACACATTCCAGTGTACTTAAAAAAAACCCTTCCAGGTTCATTAACCTGTGTGACTTGCATACCATTAACTCCAGTTTTAATTTCTGAATTTAAGAAAAGCCTTATTTGATTTCTCAGACACCTAAAAAAATCATAGCATGGCTTAAAACTTCCCAAAGTCTGGGTGTAGAACACATCTGATAATATTATTTGGGCTGCCAGAAGCGTTTAGTATCTAGACTTGGTTTTTGTTTTGTTTTCCCTCACTAACTTAAATATTAATGAATTTATTTATGTTGCAAGGGAACCTGCTGCATTAAAGCCCAATGAAGGGAGCAGTGAAACTTGTGTGTTTCTAACCACGTTTTGGCATTTTGTAAATCTGTTCCAGATGTGGGGCCAGGCTCAGATTCCATGTCTGCCACTCACTTCTGTCCTTACAGACCCCCAGGGTGATTTTTATCTGCCTCAGCTGAGAACCTTCACCCCTTCCTGGCTGATTCTACAGAGCTAAGCACAGCCTTGTCAATGTGCTCCTTAATTCCTGAGCAGGACTCCCAGGGTTTCCTCACTCCTGTTTTTTGTGTCACTTCAGTGGTCTGTACTGTGTTTTTTCTGGGAAGCTGAAAGCATGAGATTCTCACAGGACATGAAGCTGAGTGCTGGGATGATTAAACTGTAGCCAAACCAGTACATGGGAGCTCAGGTGCCACAGCCTGAGCTGGGCAGAAACACAGCCCATGACAGTGAGCAGAGTGAGCCATGGAATCATGGAATAGTTTGGGTTGGCAGGACCCAAAAGCCCATCCAGTGCCACCCGTGCCATGGAAGGGACGCCTCCCACTGTCCCAGGCTGCTCCCAGCCCCAATGTCCAGCCTGGCCTTGGGCACTCAAARGGATCCAGGGGCAGCCACAGCTTCTCTGGGCACCCTGTGCCAGGGCCTCCCCACCCTGTCAGGAGCCATGTAAAATGCTGTTTGTTGTGGAACATAGTCTCCATGATTGGACATTGTACTACCTGGGATGGATTCAGGAGGAGGGGAGGGAGACTAAGTACACAGAACGCTCCCTTCGCTGGGCACGTGAAAACTGGAAAGCTGAAGAAGTTTCCTAAACTGAATGGCAGAACTGGGAAAACTCCAGGAGGGCACCACTAATCTGGGACTGCTCTTTTCGCTGGCATGGCACACCCTGAAGGTTCTGTGTGTCCATCCCTGRCCTTAGTGAGGAGCCTTGGCAGAGCCAGGAGCACTCCGCAGCAGCTGCAGGTGATGGTCGGGGTGTGAGTGGGTCCTGGCAAAGCTGAGCTCTCTGGGTGTGACCTGGTCTCTGTATCCACAGCCCCCGGAGCTGGAGCAGCTGGGCAGGGTGGTGGAGCTGGACAGTGACATGGCTGACATCACCCAGGAGCCAGCCCCGGAGCCCTTTGGAGAAGATGCCCTGGCAGAGGAGCAGGAGGCAGTGCCAGCGTCCACTCACATTGCATCCACCCAGGGTATCAACCCCTACGTCCTGCAGGTCAGTGTCTGCCAGTGTTCCTGCCCCGGAGAGTCCTTGGGGAATGGAGCACTGCTCAAGGGAAGGGTGTGCCTKCCTCCCCAAGGCTATTTACACACCAGCTTGTGATGGGTTGGGATTGATTGATCACACACCACATTTCTGTTCTGGGGGAAGCCTCATACATGGAAAACTCAGTGCTGATGTGAAAAAACACTGTAAAGCCAGAAGTTAGATTCCAGAACTCTGGAGTGTGAGCAGTGGCCAAGCTGRACTAATACCAGAGCAGTGGCCTTGGGCCTAGCTGGTGCAAAACAAGATGTTGGGATAACTGGTGTTGATTTTGGGCTTGGTGTTAATACTTTTATTTCACAGTAYCACAGAAGGTTTGGGTTGGGAAAAAACAAAGCCCATCCAGCCCCGCCCCTGCCATGGCAGSGACACCTCCCACTGTCCCAGGCTGCTCCCAGCCCCAATGTCCAGCCTGGCCTTGGGCACTCAAAGGGATCCAGGGRCAGGCACAGCTTYTCTGGGCACCCTGTGCCAGGGCCTGCCCACCCTCCCAGGGAACAATTCCTGCCCAAAATCCCATCTAACCTTGCCCTCTGGCACTGGGAAGCCATTCTCCTTCGTCCAGGCCTTTGTAATTTTTGTGGTAGGACAGTACCGTGAACGCTTTGGGGCTTCTATCTGTAATAACAAACAGATTTGAAATTACTCTTTCAGCTCTGCTGTTTGTCAGCTTAGATCTAAGAAATCAGGATTACTGTAGGATGTCATCCCCATCCTTAACAAGTCCTGTGCCCTGATTTAACAAGTAGTTGTAAAACATCATCCATCAGGTGACAAGCCTGAGCTGTGCTTCCACTGTTCCCTTGGAATGTTTGCAGCGTGGCTGTGTTGTTTGGCCATGTGCTGCATGTAGGAGTTTTTTTGGGTGGGAAGAGCTATTTTGATGAGCTTAGTGAGCTTCTGCTGTGGGAGGGATTGCTGATGTTCTGACTTGGCTTCCCACATCCTCAGATCATGAAAGCTTCCTTGCTTGCTGATGATGATGACCTGGATTTGATCCTGGATTATCATGGGAAGCAACCTGTCAAGATGGACACTTCCCAAGAGATCTGCTCTCCAAGGCTCCCCATCTCAAAATCACAAGGACAGAAAAGACACTCAGGTATTGTGAAAACAACAGATTGTGTGAAGAAAGAGCTGAATTGTAATATAAACAGGCAAAATCCCGGGGACTGCCATTCCTTCCTGCCACTCCTTCCTCCTCTGTTCGTTCCCTGCTCTAGCACGAGCCCTGCCCCAAGGGCTGATGGTGCTCCTGTGCTTGGAGCACCTCCTCCTTCTCCTCTGATGCTTGCTTCTCTTTTCACTTTTTATTTCCTTTCTTTTTGTTTTTTTCCCTTCCCAGTGTGCTTTTTTTTTTCCCTGTAAGGTCTCCCAGAGGCACCACCAGCTTTGCAGCTTGGTTTGAAGGTGGCCCATGGTGGGTCTGCTGTGGGCACCAGCTATGCCCAGCACAGGGCACACCTGCCAGATTCTCCCACTTGGCTCTTACACCCAGTGCGCCCCCTAAGTGGTGCTTCCCACAGGTATTTTGAGGAATTTAAGAACAAGTAGGGGGATGCTTCCTATTTGAGGAAACCCATTAATTCAGATCTGTTAATCCATTCAAAGCCCATGTGATTGACAGGGATGGACCTGGGGTGTGTGGGGGCAGTGTCAGCCCTGCTGATCCACGTCTGACACCCTCCTTCTGTTCTGATGTCTTAATTCCAGCATTAAATTAGGGACTCCTTTGGAAATGGCCCATTTTGGGGTGGGGCTGTCCCTGGCCCATTCCTGTGAACACCCCTTGGGTGTTTCTTTGGGCAGTGCTGGGCGGTCAGTGGGGCTCAACACTGCAGGCAGTCACACTTAGCCCCAAGTTCCCATCACACCATCCAAATGTTTTCCACTGGCTGCTCCAGGAATCCTGGGAATTCCTGAAATCCCTTTCAGAGGCCAGAAATGTCCCTCAGGTTTCCCCTTTCACTGAAACATTCTTCCTGCTTTTCCCTGCCAGTTGCCGGGCTGCTGCAATCCAAGTTTGCCAATGTCCTTTTCCAAGCCCCGAGTGCTGCCGTGCCAGATGCCAAGGGCCCCAGGACTTTGGGGAGCCCCCCCTCTGGTGCCCTGTGGTCAGCAGCGTCTCCGCTGGCCTCGGCGTTYGCCGTGCCCCCGGCGGTGCCTGAGGTGCAGGTGAAGACAGTCGGGGTCCGCAGGCAGCGCGGGCTCGTCCCTCTGGAGCGGTCCATCACCTATGGAAAAGGGAAGCTCCTGATGGATATGGGACTCTTCATGGGGCGCTCATTCCGTGTTGGTTGGGGACCCGACTGGAYGCTTGTCAATTGTGGAGATCAGTTGAGTGGCTCAAGTGAAGTGGAAGATCCTCAGCTGGAGCCTGTGGAATATGGATTCCTGCCAACTCCTGTTGCTCCCAAATCGTGAGTAGTGGTTTCCTTCAGGATGGATGTGTCATGCTCACTCTTCATGGCTGACAGAAGCCTGKTTGCAGGTTGCTATTCCTTCTGACATGCAGGAGTGGTACAAGATGGTGTTAGCCATGGAGATCTCCTTCATGTCCCTTCTCCACAAAAATACCTGTCAAATCCTGGAACAGCATAGTAAGAGGATTTGTTTTTTTAACCAAAGAGCACTGTACACCAGCACAAGGTTAAAGAGAAAGTTCAAAGTTGTTGTCCAGATGCTTCCAATCTGTTGGTTCTCCCTGAGGACATCTGCCCTATCTGAGGAAGTTCTTGTTCAGCTTCTCAATTCCCAGACATGTTCAATTCTTCCTGTGCCTCCAGTGACGTACAGACTTTTAGGGTCTTTTACCTGAACTTGACTGGAGTATAGCCCACCCACACCACTGAAGTGCTTCCAAAAAGCTTGTCTGAATGTTCTCCAGCATATCTGAAGTGCTGAGGTGAAGGTGTGTGCTTGCTGTCTTTGGAGAGCTCAGTGAGGTTTATTTGCCAAATCACAGAAAGTTTGGATTGGGCGGGACCTTAAAGACCATCTTGTTCCAACCTCCTGCTGTGGAAATGACACCTTCTACTAGCCCAGGTGTTGGGGGTCCCAAAGCCTGGCTCCAAATGCCAGACTCTCACCAGGATCCTCATGTCTTGGATCATTATTTACTGTTGTGCTAATTAGGACAAGCTACAGGATGAGCTGCTTCCCTTGCATGAAGGGGAAGCAGCTCATACAGAACATTTGCTACCTGGTCTATCTTCTTTTTTCCTCCAGACTCACAGAATCCCCTTTCAAGGTTCATGTGGAAAAGCTGAGTTTGGAACAATGGAAGATGGACAGAGATAAGGAGCTGTATCTCACCCCTCTGGAGATAAAGCTGAAGCACAGCACTGTCCATATGGATGAGCCCTGTCCTCTCCTGGCCCCCAACCCCGGAGTCTCTGCTATCCATGACTATGCTGACTGGGCCAGGAAGGCATCTGAGGATCCCACTGTGGCAGAGAGTGAGTATGGAATGATTCTTCTCACAGAATGGTTTAGGCTGGGAAATTGCTCCCAGCCCATGGAGTCCCAGCTGTGCCCGATGCCCACCTTGTCCGCAGCCCTCAGAGCACTCAGTGCCACTTCCAGCCCTTCCTGGGACACCTCCAGGGATGGAGACTCCAAAGCTCCCTGGGCAGCCCCTTCCAAACAGAGTGGGGACAGTGAACTGAACCCTCCAGGGTGAGGACAATGAACCCTCCGGGCTGGGGACAGTGAGCCCTCCAGGGTGGGGACAGTGAGCCCTCCAGGGTGGGGACAGTGAGCCCTCCAGGGTGGGGACAGTGAACCCTCCAGGGTCATCCTCGCGTGAGCTCCTGTGTGTTCTGTGCTTTCACTCCTGACGGCTTGGCCTGTGTCCCCACAGCCGTTGTGAAGCACTGGTGCTTGGCCTGGACATTGTGTGAGGCCATTTGGGGTAACCTGAAGGAGCTGGAGGCCAGCCTGGAGGAGCCCAGTGAGTACATGCTGGCCCTGGAGCGCCGCAGGGCCTTCTCACGCTGGCTGTCAGAGACGGCGGCCGGGCGCATCGAGGAGGAGGTGTCCCTGTCCCGGCACGGCAGCCACATCGAGGCTGTGTTCAGCTGCCTCACAGGGAAGAGGATCGGCGAGGCCTGCAGGCTGGCACAGCAGGCAGGTGAGCACCCCAGGGTGTCAGGCACAGTGCCCAGGCTCCCCAGGGAACGGGCATGGCCCTGAGGCTGCCAGAGCTCCAGGAGCGTTTGGACAGCGCTGCCAGGGATGCACAGGCTGGGATTGCTGGGGGGGCTGGGCAGGGACAGGGGTGGGAGTAGATCATCCCTGTGAGTCCTTCCTCCTCAGGACATTCTGTGCTGTAGAGTTCCTAAATCTCAGCTTTTATGTGGAGGAGAAAGGAGATGCACAAAGCGAGTTTAAACTTAGAGAGCTCCAGGTCACTGGCTGCTCTGCACGTGGAGGGTTCCCTTGTCAGTGACCACAGAATAATAGAATTGGCTGGGTTGGAAGGGATTTTAAAGAACACCCAGTGCCACTCCTGTCAGGGGCAGGGACTCCTTCCAGTATCACTTGTTGCTCCAAGCCCCATCTGAAGACAGGCCTTGGAGATTGGGTGGGGGCTGCTGCTGGAATCCCTGGTCCCTTCACTCTGGCTCTGTCAGCTACCCCCCCTCTGTCAGTTAGGAAGTGCTGCTGGATTGCATTTGGAGCCAGGAGTTTTCACAGTCTCTTCTTTGGATTTTAAATTAATATTCTTTTTAATTGAGCCTCTGTTCAGACATTTTACATTTGGG